TCTCTCTCTCTCTCTCTCTTCTCTCTCTCCTCTCTCTCTCTCTCCTCTCTCTCTCTCTCTCTCTCTCTCTCTCTCTCTCGCTCTCGCTCTCGCTCTCTCTCTCTCCAATACCTATTACCCTGTGATCACATCTTATGCCACTGGACACTATAAGACGCATTTCATCTACCCGCGCCTACTTCACTAAGCTACCTACACCTCCTCTATAAAACAGATACAAACAATTCCTCCCTCTAGGTTTCTACTGGATTTTACCACCGGGTGAGGATCAGTGATGAGTGGCGGCCGTAAGCGACAGTGAAAAGTGAGAGTTAAAAGTGGGCGTGACAAGTGATAGTGACAGGGACACTTGCTAATCTCGCGTAATGACTGCCGTTCATACACATCCCCAGGGGCCCCGCAGCTGCGCATTTGTTCGCACATGTGTGTGCGAACGAATTTCCTTGTTTTCCTGAGGTATATCCACCCCGAGGGTCAGCAGCTGTGTCTGCGTGTAAATGGGTGTTTGTGAGTGCATGAATGTGTGATTTCGCGTTGTACATAACCTAAAAGCCTTCATTAAAACGCTTCCTTTTCCTCCCCCAGGTACACCTCCCCCGAGGGCCAGCAGGTGGACATCGTTTTCGTGGCTGACCAGGGGGGATACCAGCCCCAGGGGGCGGTGCTCCCCGTCGCTCCTCCCCTCCCCTACATCCGCACTGGCCATGGTATCTAAGCACTGTGATGATCCTCACCATCTTCACTTCATTATCATCACCATCATCATCTTCCACTTTACACGGGTCTCTCGCGCGGTTCCCTGAGTACAGTTGCCTTATTTCTTTTTTCTTTCTTTCCGTTTTCGCTTCTATCCTTTCCTCATTTCTTTCTCGGTTTTCTTTGTTCTCTGACGCGCTGCTCTCTCCATCTAATTATTTTGTATGTTTGTCTGTCTCTCCGTTTATCCATTTATATATTTTTCATCGTCCATTTTTCTCCTTCTCCTTTTTTCATTCTGATTCGTCTTGTTATTATCATCATCATCATTATTAATTATCTTCTTCCTCCCTTTCTTCTTGTTCATCTTCATCTCAACCGGATATGAACCTATTCACTCCCTCCGAACCGCTGAGATTCCGCCTTGTTGTGGTCGCTTAAACACTGAAATTTATCGACGAAAGAAAACGGAGGATCTAGTCTCAAGTGGAAAAACTTCATCTTGTATTTTTGTCTTCATACATTATTAAGTTTTATGTGTGTAATCAAAATCATTTAGGTATTTGCTTGGTGTCTATCATGCATGTGTCGCAGATTTGTTTATTACTTTCGTTTTGTAGCTTTGTTGCGTCTGTGCTGGGCACATTTGCAGCAGCGTTTCATTGGATGCAATATTAAAAGAAGGAAAAATCATACATTTTGATTCATTATCATAAAATTATGAAAAAAAATACGCTAATATAAATCGACGAGCAACTATAAGACACACAGCACTCGCTCACTCACTCACACGCAACACACACACACACCACACACACACACACCACAACACACACACACACGCACACACACACACACACACACACACACACACACACACACACACACACACACACACACACAAAGGGAGAAAGTCCAAAAGCAAAGAATTATAATAATCCTAAATAAGAAGTAAATGTGGAGATGTTGATGGTACAGGTAAACGCCACAAAGATAAAGCAGAGACAATAATAATGATGATGTTACTAGTATTTGAAATAATAGTAGTAAACTAGAACGATGCTAGCAATAATAACCATAACAACAACAATGACAATAACAACAATACAAAGATGATGTTAATAACAGTAGTAACAACAGTAATAATGCTAACACTAAATGATAAGGGGGACGATAACACCGATGTTGAAAAAAATATAACATCGTCTATAACTATAATAGTGATAATAATGATAATAAATCTAAAATGATAACAATAATAGTAACAGTAATAATAATGATTATAATGATAACTATAATAAAGCTAGAAATAATGATAATCAAATGAATGATAATAATAATGATAACAATAATAGTGATATTAATTAAAACATTCGTGATAACATTGATAATAATAATGATGATGTGATGATTGATAATAATAATATAATAATATAATAATAATAATAATAATAATAATAATAATAATAATAATAATAACAATAATAATGATTATGATGATGATGATGATGGTAATAATGATAATGATAATGATGATGATAACAATGATAATCATGATAATAATGATAATAACGATAATAATAATAATAACAATGATAATGATAATAACATTAATGATAATAGTAATAATATCATTAATAATGATGATATCAATAACTAAAATAACATTAACGCTGATGATGATAACATCAACAACAGCAACGACGATAATAGTAATAATGAAAATAATAATGATATCAGTAATAATAATGATAAAGATTATAAAAAAAAACATTATTATTGTTTTCATTACCATAGTTATCATTGTTATTATCTGCATTATCATCATTATCATCTTCATTACTATCATTGTTAGAATTATTATTATTATCATTATCATCATCATCATTATTATTGTTATTATTATTATTATTATTGTTGTTGTTATTATTATCATTACTATTATTATTATCATCATCATCATTATCATTATTATTATTATTATTATCATTATCATTGTTATTATCATCATTTTCAGTATTATTATCATCATCATCATAAAGATCGGGATGAGAACAATAGTAATGAATAATAGTAGTGATAATGATATCAATGGTTATCTTCATTATTATCATCAGTACTATTATCATTATCATAATCATTATCATTATTATCACCAATGTCAATCATTGTAAATTAATTATGGTGAATAGATATAGCAATTACCCATTTTCTGTAAATATTTCATCTTACAAAGATATCCTATTTAGATATCCTGTTTTTGAAACGTTACGGACTTTGTTACATGCAAGCAGATCATCCTACATATTCGACTGCGTGAGGCAAGCAATGTGCAAAGTTCTACAACAACATATGCTGTCCAGACCAGCCGCGAGTTAACCATCAGTGTGCCAGACAGCTTTCAAAATCCTGAGTTGAAAGTATTTGAATTGCGTCGTTTGAAAGGGAAGCGAAGACGTTCTTGGTGTGATCTTCATTATGCCTATTGTTAATATCGGTGTTATTGTTATTATTCAACAAGAACACTTTAATCATTACTGATATTATTCTTTTTATCAATATTTGGTATTACGATGGTTCTTGGTATTATCTTGTTATCATCATCATGATTACTATCATTATTGTTATCCATATTTTATTTTCATTATAATTTTTACTATCACCATTATCATTATTTCCTCTCAATGGTCAGGATTGTGAGATCTTTCGGACGACTCCTTTTGGGAGGGAGACCAAGAGCGGCGGTCGCCCTTCCAGTCTCGACCACAGGGCCAGGATTCGCGCTCCGGGCACTGGCACTCACGCTCTGACACCCACGGTCCGCAGCCGCATGCGTCACCGCTGCACTGCTTCGGCCGCAACATTAGTATTGATGTTATTGTAACTATTGTTTTTGTAGTTATTATTGTTGTTGTTATCATTATTATTATCATTATCATCATTAGTAGTAGTAGTAGTAGTAGTGTCATCGATAGCATCGTTATTATCATGATTATTGTCATTAGTATTATTAATACTGGTGTCATACTTATTACCATTGCCATTACTACTACTATAATTATTAATCTTAATATTATTATCATTGTTGTTGTAACTGTTGTTGTTATCATTATTGTTAATATTACTTTATTTTCAATTTTGTTATTATTATTATTGTTAACATTATCATCATTATTATCAATATAATTACTACTACTACTGATATCATTACTATCATTGTTATTGTTATTGTTATCATGGCTAGCAGTAGTAGTAGTGCCATTATCATCATCAT